CAAAGGTAATATACAAGACAAAACAGAAGAAGGTTGCGCCAAAGCTGGCTAACGTGCAGCTGAAATGAACAAAGTCCAAAGTGTAAGTGGTGCAAAAACAAAGTCTTTAGTTGGGCCTGATGGAGCACCGATGGCCTATGTAGAGGAGTATTCTCTCTAAGGGTCACTTGAAGATGGTTTATCAGGATCCGTATGTAAAGAAAGAAAACATAATAGTGTAAATACGTCTGATACGAGGGTTGATATGCAGGAAGAAGAGATCTATAGAAATCCTACTCACGTGTAGTAGAGCTAAACTAGCTCTAGTGTGGATGGCATACAGCGGTACAATTCCCACTTATAGGATACGTAGAGAAGTACTGGTCTTTTACTCCGTATGTAGAAGAGAAGGACAGATGATAGGGCAGTACGTCTGGTAAAGATGGTGTATATAACAACAGAGTCTAATATAGTCCTACTCACGTTTAGTAGAGCTTAAGCCAGCTCTAGTATGAATAGCGTACAGCAGTATAATCCCCGCTTGTAGGATGCGTGTAGAGGGTTAAGTCTTTTGCCGATATGTAGATCATAAGGGAGAAGAGAGACAACTAATAGTGCTCCCTGTATAAAAACTCATATAAGGAGTATAAATAATAAAATGTGTACTCACATAGGATTGAGCAGGCGGACTGCTCAATGACTTAGGCGTGAGTGGTATAATCCCCACCTCGGATGTCTTTGGAGTAATACTCAGCAGGAGAGATATATAAACGTATCACAATAGACCACCCAAGTGCAGCAATAGATCATAAAAATAAGGTTAATTACTTCCCTTAATAGTCTAGGTTTTAACAAAGGATTCCTCAAAACCTCACAAAATGCATAAAAAATATAAGATACAACTAGATAAAAACAGAAAGAAAGAGACAATCATAGGGAAACACCGTTAAGTAGATGGGTCCCTACTAAAATATTGCACTCACAAAATGATGGAGAAATTCAAGCCCATCAAGGTTTCTTTAAATCTTGTAAAGGAATTCCTGGTTCCTCAAGTGTACATGTAAAAGAAAAACTGAACATAGCATAGAATTGTAGATATTGTAAAAAAGCACAATTTCTTACAAGACGTGAGAAATAAAAATGCCCATCAAATATTGGTCCCTCTTTCCAAGATGATAAATGGAAACCACAAGTGCAGGGATTACAGGCAGCAATATAAACAGCTCTACGCGTTTTGTCTAAAAGGTAGACTTCATCAGGAGAAATTCAATAAAAACGATATTACAATCAAATAAATAACATACAATAAAAGTCTCTTATGTTCAGTCTTCTATTAAATGTCCCTCTCGCCTGGTTTGGCTTCTCATCAACCAATCTGCACGCTTGATATCACCTGTTCCGTGTAATCTGAATTCTAAGTCGAGCACTCTGTGGAACACATATGCGTTCCACCGATCCGGAAGAAAGAAACTCCCTCTTCGTCCGTCATCTCTTAGCGGCTGGAACGCTTATGCGTTCCACCAGACAATCTCATAGTCTCAATGGAAATCAGTCCATAACGAAGGAAAAAATAGAGGAGGGAAATAAAATGAAATAAAATGAAAATGCAAGGTATATATAATACATAACATGCTATTAACTCACCATAATCTAACATGGTATACAGAACCATGTATATTGGAATATCAATAAATGGAACATATTGATAAATATCACGCTCCCCTAGTGCCAAAAAGTGGACATAAAAATATAGTGAATACATAAATTATAAAGAGAATGATCCTGGAATACATGTAAACAAAAATAAATAATTAGAAAAATATTTAAGAAATAATAATAATAAAAATATGAGAATAAATGAAAATGAAAATGAAAATAAATAAAATAAAAAATAAAATAAATAAAGTTAAAAGCAAATAAAGTTAAAAATAAATAAAATTTAAAAGGATACAAAAATACAAGAATGAAAAAAATTGAAAAAAGGAAAAAAAAATTGGAAAAAATTAAAGAAAACATATTAAATCAAAATCCACATTCAACTCATAGGGTTGAAGGGTTTATAATTTATGAATCCAGAATCCTTCTCTTTGTCTCAATCTCATAGTAATATCTCCACCCCTTATACCAAGCGATACTTGTTCTATAATCACCCATGAGAAGTTGTGAATTTGAAATTGGGGACACTGGTTACAATGGATGGGAATAGAGTGATTTTTAAGATTTCGTCTAATATTGTTTTTATGTTCCAAAAAACGTATCTTTGCCTTTCGCCCTGTCCTCCCCACATATTGAGCACCACACCCACATGTGAGGAGATACACAACATGTGAGGAAGAACAGGTCACCCGTCTTTGGATTGTCAGCAGGAGAGATAAAATCAGGATACCAAGCAAAATTAAAAATAATAAATAAAAGAGTAAAATGGCACAGAGTGATTTAAAAGTAGCCAAAATACCTTTATTTGGAATGCAGAATAAAATATATAAAATATCCACAACGCGTTTCACCTATAGTGGCTTTATCAAGTGGAGACAAAAAAAAACATGCTTGGTAGGGTAGAGTTTATATAGGGGGACTGATTTTAAACAGTAAATGAGGTTTGGCACCTAAATGACGTCATCATGTAAGGTGCATTTTCAAAATACAAAATAAAGTCAGGGCAGCTTCCCCTAAAGTTTGAAGTTAAAACGAGGGTTATAAATAGGGTAAAAACAGTATTTTTGTTGGTCACGTGATAGTCTTCCATTTTGGAAAACGTACCGATCGCGTGACATGCCGCTAGGGGTATTGGGAAATGTAGTGAGCAGGGGGTACTGCTACAAATGGCATACTGGTGGTTAGGGAGTAAGCAGGGATAGACAGGATGGGCGTGTCGGTCGGCCAGGGGCGTGGTTATAATGCCGACGGCCGGGAGGTGTATACAGCTGATGTTGCTGTAGGGGAAGAAGTGGAAATGAATGTGTGGGCGTGAACTATGCCCGAAGATTATTCAAAACAGTTCAAAGGCTGTACTTGAGCTGTCTTAATGGGCAAGACAGAACAGGAACTATATAAATAAATAATAAGATGGAGGAAGAGGGGAGAGGGGAAATGAAGGACATTAAACAACTGTGCATACTTATATATACTCTGCATAAATAAATACATTAAGTACATACAGATTAAATAACCCTTATATAAAAGGGGAATACATTAAAATACATATGTACAGAAAATGTATGAGTGACAGGTTAATTTAAGTGCACTTTTACATATTATTTAAAGGGATAATTAGTTCTTTAGCATAATAACTGAGAATGGATTATTGAACGCATTAGTGAATGGTTTGTTTTAAGTGCACTTCTACATGGTATTTTAAGAGGCTGGATGATTAACCCCCTAAGGACCAAACTTCTGGAATAAAAGGGAATCATGACATGTCACATACGTCATGTGTCCTTAAGGGGTTAATTAAGGGTAATAACATAAGACAAATAGATAAAAGTTTAAATACATTATTATTATTTGAGAGATAATAAAAACTAATAGAAATTAATAAGGATTAATAAACATTATGAAGAGCTATAAACAATTTTTCAGGTCAAAGTCAGCATTTAACCCTTCTGGGTTAAGTGTTTTTAAAAGGAAAACCCAGTACATTTATTTCTGACGTAAAATCTTTTTAATATCGCCACCTCTCCATGGGAGTTTACACCTTTGTATCCCTATACATTTTAGGTATTTAGGATTTTTATCATGGATTAAAAAGTGTTTTGACACAGAGTGGTTAGGGTAGCCGTTTACTATGTTGCAGCAGTGCTCTGCGAGTCTAGTTTTTAGGCAACGTGAGGTCATATACACGTATTGTAGGCCTCATGGACATTCAAGTAATAAAATAAAAAAAATTGTGTTGCAGCTAACAATGTCTTTTATGGGATAAGATTTTTTTTGTATTGTGGGATGTAAAATGGGTAGTTTTAGTCTTTATGTTGTGGTCTGTGGTTTTGCACACTATGCAAGTATTACATTTAAAAAAGCCTTTCGAGTTAGATAAAAAGGTGGAATTTTTGTTTGTGTGGTTCTTGGTGTAGTTTTTGGTGAGGATAGTTTTAAAATTGGGAGCACCTCTAAAAACTATGCTTGGCTTATCAGGGATGAGTTCTTTTAAAATATCATCTTGTCTTAAAATGTGCCAGTGCTTGTTAATAATTTTTTTGAAGTTTGTGCTTCTATTATTAAAGTGGAAAATAACAGGCATAAAAGGGGAATCTTTTGTCTTTTTTGGTGACTATTTCCAAAGTTTTGTTTAGGTTGATCTGTGGGTAATTTTTATCAATAAATTTTTCTTTCAGTGATTGTGCCTGTTCTGGAAAATCCTTGGTGTCTGAACAATTTCTTTGGAGGTGAAGGAATTGACTTTTGGGAATGCTATCCAACCACGGCTTGAAATGGCAGCTGGATTGATCAATTACCGTATTTGTGCAAACGTTTAAAAAAAAAT